TATATATATATATATATATATATATATACTGTCCGTTCTTTTGTTTTGCAGGGTGTCCTAGTAATGTTAAAGTTACAGAATTCTGTGCTGTTTTTCAGTCTAAATTTTTGCTCCGTTCATAGCCGGATCCAGGACAGACTCTTGGAGGGAGGCGGGGGAAGAGATGGGCGTAGGGGAGCGACGGGAGATTGGGGAGAGTGAAGCTTCCGGGGGAAGGTGACACGGAGTGGGGAAGAGCCCTTCTCACCCTGGAACTGTGCAAAAAGGGTGCCCCAGTCACGATGAAGCTGCAAAACTTGTGCTTAGAGTTTAGTTTTATTTATGATCATATCCGAGATTTTACAGCACCGTGCCTGTGCCCTAGGCAAAAACTGTTCATCCTTCCTACCGACCCATCTTCCCCTCCCGGTGAATCCATCTATGGCTCCGTTTGTTCTGCATCGGCCGCTGTTCAACCTTTTGGCAATCCTGATGTGATTTTTCTCTTCTAGTAGGATTACAAGTTCAGCGATTCTTCTGGCCGAAGTGCTTGATAAAGCTTTAGCTTTCTCGAGATATCCGTGTTGTGCGTTAAGCATCGCAACCTCATCCGGAACGATGCTACTTCTAGGGCTTGATGAGCTGATATTTGTGTTATTAGACTGTAAAAGTTAGCGTAAACGTAAAGGCAAAAGTGCACATTTGTCATCAAAATTCATTTGTATTTGAGGCAAAATTTCTTTCCATTTCTTCCTGTCATTTTTGCGTGTCTGCGTAAAGCCTGTGTTAGCTTTTTTTTCCTGGCGCTGACGAAAATGCCTTTATTTTCGGGCCTGGTGGTTTTTTGGTGCAAAAAAGATGCATTTTAATTGTGTGTGTTTTATAGGAACCGAAGGTACTGAACAGGTAGTGGATAAGTTAATGGAAGGGCTTGACGATTATCAGCGTATCAAGAATGCAGAAGCTGCTGAAGAAAGGTTTCGCCTCGAAAGGTCGTCAAGTTTTTTACCGATTATGCGTATCATAGTTTTCTAGGTCTTTTTCTTTTACGTAAAAAAAAAAAAAAATTGGGTCAGTTGTAATTCTTCGTTTGGCCATCAGTAGTGCATTTGACAGCTGGGCCAGCTGCATTGGTCAAGGCCGTATCGCCTATTGGTCAGCCTGCTGGCGATACCATAGGTGAATTCCAGGACGATTTTCTGAAGGAGAGGGAGAGAGGGGAAGTTGGGGGAGGGGGGAGGGAGAGGGCGATTTGGACGATTTCCCCCCACCTCTCCCTCCTCGCCTCCCCCCACACTTGGTCGTCGCTACATCAGAAGCTCCGCTACCTCCCCCTCTCCCGCTTTCCTCGCTCGTTCGTCCTGTCGACGTCTACCAGGGGAGTGGGGAGGGACAGGAGGTCAGAGAGGGGGGAGGCAATAGGGCAGAGTCAAAGATAGTTTTTCTCAGTTTTAACACTGCTACTTGCGCCACTGGGGCGGGGGACGAAACACCCATCGCCCTTTCCCTCTCCCCTCCCCCGTCCCCGCTTCTGAAACCGCCAATGATCGATTCTGACTTTCATTGCGTTCCCCAAGGGATTGTCTAGCACAATTGTTCTTACGACAAAAGCACTGAGAGGAGCTTTAGCGATTCCAAGGCACCGTTCATGTGTGTTGAGCACCACCATCTCATTTCGATTTTTGTCATTACTGAACCGCGTTGAGGTTCTTTGTCGACTGTAAGCTTAAAAAGATATTGGATTGAAACTGACAAGTTTTTTTGGCGCATATAAAGTGAAGGTATATTTTTTATAATTTTTGTGAATTTTGTAGGGAAGAAATCAGACAGGAGCAAGCCCGAGAATATGAACGGTCGTTAGCGGAAGACAGAGCACGTCAGGAAAAACTGGAGCGTGAGAGAATTGAACAGATGTAGGTTTTTCTATACTATTTTGCTGAAAATTCGAGTGCCTTCTTACAAACTGTGATGAGTATAACAGTATGATTTGTTTGGTTAAATATTATACATCCTGTATGCTAAATTGTAATATGAGATGAATAATCTGTACATAATAACAGTAGAGTAAGAAAACTGAAAATAGGTGTCATGTATAAGAAGACATTTTACGATGCAGTCTCCGCTTGTTTCAGCCCTTAGCTGTAAACGGGCTCGTCAGTACAGCCTCCTACCCGCCATGTATTGAAAGGACATGTAACTAATTTGCAAGAAGAATAAGTGAAAGAAAAAAAGAGAGAAGGAGAGAAAGTGTAATAGCCCTGGATGAGTAGCCGGGAATTAAATTTTGGAGTTCATAGTTTGGTGACTGATCATTTCTGGCTCGAATTCAAGTGATTATATTATGATATAGGAAGGAAAAAAAGCTACTGATCCCGCAATTTTCACAGGATTTTTATCTTGTAACACTATGGAGGAATGGTGATCAAAAAAATCAGTTCTTTCCGGAATTTCAATTGGTCTTGGACGCAAGAGAAATAGAAATTACGCTTTCTAAATATAGCAAGACCTTTCTCGAAATTGAATGTGTGTGAGTACTGGTTTTAACCGCTAATTTTAGCTGAATCATCCGTGTAAAAAATAACTAAAATTTTTATGCATTTTCTAATTTTGTAAGTTTTTCTCGCAGAATAAGGCGAATAATTCTGTGTTTTGCCCATTTTAGAGCTGAAGAAGAGCGTCGAATAAAGGAGGAACAAGATAAAACAAGGCGTTTACAAGAATTAGCTGCATCTTTGCCGGAAGAACCACCGAACGGGGAAAGCAATGTTGCAACAGTACGAGCACGTTTACCGGATGGAAGTATGCGAACACGAAGGTAAAACTATCGGACAAATCTTAGAACCCACTCAATCTTAGAACCTAATTCTTTAGAACCCTTTCATCGTTTTTTGCTCATTTTTTTTCCCAAACCCTAAACATGTTGTGATAGGGGGCAGACTTGACTAGGCCCCTATGTTTGGGGATGAGCATGCCAGAGTAAAATCGATAACCTGGAATCACCAAATCCCCGCTTGATAAACCGTACTCGATGCTTGAAACGACCCAGCAAAATCTAGAAATACTGCAGCAGCAGATGCACAGCGAAATAATATTTCTAGGTGCCGGGGAGACTTTTGTGTTGATGTTTTATGCCGGAATGTTTTTAGGAAAAAGTTTGCCGGAAGTCAGTATGCTTCTGAAGCAACCCTCGAAACAAACCAGAATCATCGAATGGTGTTTTTTTTCTAGCGGTAGTTCTTTGTTGGCAGAGTACTGCTCATTTCAACGATTTGCTAGATAGAGAGGGAGGATTTTAAAATTGACTTTGAATGAAATTCGAAAAATTTTTTTTCAGATTTCGAATGGCTGAACCACTTCGTAATGTCACAGTGTTTATTGAATCGATGGGATACCCACTTGATAGATATCGGATTTGGACTTCAGATTTACCAAAGAAAAATGTGGTTTGTCTTTTTTTTTTCTTTTCATACATTAGTAATTTAAATGTGGTTATGGAGGAGGTTGTAACTGAAAAGCGATAAGTAAAAATGAAATCTGAGTATTTTCTTCTTTTTGGTTCAGTACTTCATATTTTGGATAGCTGCTGCTCACTACATGGGTTCTTCAGCTATGCAACTGGGCGGATCCAGGACGGACTCCTGGAAGGGAGCGAGGGGTGGAGGGTGGTGAAGGGAAGTAGGCCTCTTTGGGGAGGAGGGGAGGCGATGAAGGAGGTGAGAGGTGAGTCTCCTTCCACTCTGGAAGTGTGCGAAAACTGGGAATAAATTTGTAACACTGCTATTTAGAGTTCCTTTAGGTTTTAGTTTAGTTTTAGCTTTAGACCCGGACTTTCCCAATATTGGTACTTGCGTCCTGGAGGCAGGGGTTGACTCATCGAAGGACCTATCGCCTCCCTCCTTTCCTGCCACCCGTTGGTGCCGCCTATGGCAGCTGACAACTTTTGCAATTGCTTTGAGCAATGTTGTATCGGGTAGTGGTCTGCGTATTGCTTGCGATCCCAATGTTCGTTTCGTTTCTTCAAAAGCAGATTTTCAAATTGTGTAATATTTTCTAAAATGTTTGAGCTACTTGAATATTTTTTTTTTCAGCTGGAAACATATGATCTCAGTCGCACATTAGCCGATGTGAAATGGCCTGTTCGTGAACAGATCACTGTTGATGAGAAGTAGTGAAGAATTACATGAAAAAACACAGAGAACAGTTCCTTTTGCGTCCGAATATTTTTTGATATTTCAAATTTTTTTTGAGAATTGCCTTTTGGAAATTGAGAAACATTATATCATTAATCGCTCTGTATCGCGTTGACAACTGTTTTGACATTTTGTAAATTTTTATTTTGTTTAATGATCAGGCAGTTACGTGCACTGACTATTTTCGAGTTCCTCGATTTTTCCGGAAATTAAGCCTGTAGGCCTCATTCGGAATTAAGTAGATAAAACGAAATAATAGGAAAATTCAAGTTTAATATTTCATGTGAAATAAAACATTGCGCATGGAGAGGATTGGGAGAGAGTGTTTTGGAGCGTGTTATAAACATAAACAGTGTGACATATTCATATCTCATGCGCTGAGAAAGCCATCTCTTCCGAAAATTTAACAATTTTGTGAATTTTTCATTTTGATATGTTTCATATTGGAATCATTTTTTTACGTTGCACAATAGATTTTCTTGATCAACTCCTCTCGTTTTCTCGTTTGCACCTCATTTCTAATTTTTATTGGGGTTTCGTTGAAATGAAGGTTAGACTAAGGTTAACAGCTTTGCGATTGCTGGTTTTTATACTTTTTTACGAGCCATTGGGGTTTTCCTCTACTTAGGATATCTGAGATCCTTGGTTCTGTCTCTGAAGAATTTAGAAAAGTATCTACCTTTTTTCTCGTGTCGGGATTGCCGCGAAGCCAGAAGCTACAAGTTTAATTTTCACAGGATTTCCTTCGTTGTTAGATAAGTACCGAATTTATTTGCAAAGTCTGTTCTTGATTTTCTGGGCAGTAAAATCTTGAAAAGAGCTATCCTTACTCTTTTTGAATCGAAGTATACCAGCTGTGAAGCATCCGAGTGCTGTAAGTTTGACCATTACAAATCCTTGTCGGATTTGTTTTTGAGGCGCGCGATATCTTCTTGAAATTGAATAAAAAAGATATCTTCCTAAAGCTAGAAAAATCCTGAGCAGTAATTTACTAAGGGCATTACCAACCGCTGGTCAGGCTGATTATTATTTTGTATCATCTAAGCTTATCCAGGCAGAATGCGGCGCATTTCCAACCGGCCATTTATGAGTCGGCCTTCTAATGGCTGTTACTTATCATTCCTCAGTCATGCTTGGAGTTGCTAAGATTGTTTATGCCTCAGCATACTTCGGCAAAGTAAAAGGCAGTACGGGCCTCAAAGTCGGTTGCCACTCTCAGATCAAGGTGAGTGAGTGATGCCTAGGTTGGAGTTTTTTTAGGAGTAACAATAATATAGTAATCGTAATTTTATCTTTTTTGCCCTATAAAAATGCCATGAATTATGTATTTCTTTTGGAAATACGATAGGGAACAGGTACTACTATTATTTTTGGATTTTTTACTGCCTGCCTTTTTTTTATTGCAAAATACAACGATTACAACAACATATTTTATATAAGAATGTCGCAAAATGTTTGAAATTTCTTTTGCTTTTGTATGTGCGCAATTCCTTGCTTTTTCCCGTTCATCATATGTGTTTTTTAGAGAGATTGCATGTTACTGATGAAAGATTTTTTTTTTCTAAACTGATGTATATAAATTTTTCTCCTGTAAATTGTTCATTTCTTTTTAGGGAGAAGATATGACATTCCTAAAGATATCTTTAAATCTTTAAATACAGAAGAATCTTAAATACGTGTCTTTAAATACAAAAGATGGATGGGAAATTCCCCTCCCCTAGGATCGGGATTGGTTGGTCTGGGATTTTAGGGGAAGTGAAAAGAAATGTCATTAAAAAAATGTCATTAAAATTAGAAAATGGACAAAAGATTTCAGAAAAGGCTGGGATGAATTTAGGGATTTTCGGGGTATGAGGGAACATGGCATGCCAGGGATATTGTTAGGATTAGATGTTCGGTCAGTTTTTTAAAAGATGCGGGTGAATTTAGTTCTTCGAAAATTAACCTCAGTCTGGTCTTTTAAACTAAATTCGTCGATGTCTTCCAGGATATTTCCGAAACATGACGCATCGGAAATATCCTCGAAGACATCGGTCAGGGAAGTGGCGAATTTAAGTTTTTGAAGAAAACTAAGACAGGTATAGCAGGGGTATTTTTTGAATTGGCGGGCAGTTTGGCGATTTCCGATCTTCGAAAATCCGGTAACACATCGTCTCCTTTTATTACTGGTTGTAGGAGCGAACTGGTGTAGTAGCTAAAGGCATTTATTAAAAGGTTGGAAGGCAGATTGCAATAATTGGAGGAAAGGGGAAGAGGTGGAGGATGGGTGTCGCAGGTGGTGGTTTGGGTCTCGGAAGTGATAACAAATGAAACGAGGCGGGTTGTTGACTGGAGAAAAGCTAAAGATCTTACTTGAAGGTAAGAATCGGGGACGAGGGCACAGTTTTATGAGAAAACAGTCTGTATAAGTGTTTTTATGCGTTTTTGCTGTGCAACACCATAGCGCTGTAACAGTAAGCAAAAGCACGTGTTGTGACTTGGTCCTGTTTTTGTACGTGTGGTCTGGTGCCATGATGGGTTGAGCCCGGCCCTAAAAGCGGGCACATCGTTGTGTGGGCGGGGCGAATCGAGTTTTAACAGTTTGCGCAGTAGGGCCTAGGCTGCAGGTTGGGCTCTACGTTGCATTTTCGAAATGTTGGTTCTCGACGCGAAAATCAGTGACGCGTGGCACTTTACTGTGGTAGGTCGGTTTGTAGCCCGGCTGAAATCGATAATGTATGGGTCGGTCGACGTCCACGTGGCTCTGGTTTGGTGGCGTTGGTTGTTTGTTGGGCGTGGTACTTGGGCGGGGGGGATTGTGTGGCGGGGAG